TTATCATTGGCGATTTTTTCTGTAGACTTAATTTATTTTTTGGCATAGCTCACATTTTTTTATATACTGTGTTACATCTTCTGCTATTCCTTTCCAGTTGTGTTTCATACATATTCTGTTTAATGTACGTTGTATTCCTTGATGCCCTCCCAGTGGTGCATCGTGGTATTCGTAGAGTATTCGTCTTTTTTCTTCCTCTGTATAATTTTGTATCTTATGTTTGTTTGTATTATTTTCTTCTTCTTTTTCCTCTTCCTTTTCGTTTTCTTCTTTCTCTTCTTCTTTTTCTGATTCGTTCGTCTCCTGTGGAGTGTTAGCTTGCGGTACTGATATTGGGGGGTATTTACTTAACGCGTCTGTATTTACGTTCGTTTTCCCTGCCTTGTGGATTATTTCATAGTCATATTCCTCTAATTTCAACCTCCATCTTATTAGTCTAGATCCAGGATCTGTAACGTTGAATAGCCAGACTAGTGGTTTATGATCTGTTACGATTTTGAATTTGGTTCCGTAGATGTAATGTCTGAAGTGTTTTATGGCCCAAACTATCACTAATAATTCTTTTTCAGTTGTTTTATAATTTTGTTCCGCGCGTGATAATACGCGGCTTGCATAGGCTATCGGGTTGTCTGCTCCTATTCGGCCTTGCGATAGTATGGCTCCGATTGCATGGTCGGACGCATCAGTCGTGACCACGAATTCTTTTTCGAAATCCGGATGTCAATACCGGTGAGGTGGTCAGTTTTTCCTTTAGCTTATCAAACGCCATTGTTGTTCTGTATTCCATTCGAACTTTTCATCCTTTTTGGTTAATTTGGTTAATGGTCGTGCAATTTTTGAAAAATTATCGATGAATCTTCTATAATATCCTGCGAGCCCTATAAATGATTATATATCCTTGGTTTTTGTGGGTCTCGGGAAATTTGTTATTGCTTCTATCTTTTTTGGATCGGGCAGAATTCCCTTTTCTGAAATTATATGCTCTAAGTAGGTAACTTCCTTCCTAAGGAACTCACATTTGTTTGGTTGAAGCTTTAGATTACATTGCCGTATTCGCTGTAGCACACTAACAAGTTTTTTGTTGTCTTCTAGGTTATTTTCATATATGACTATGTCGTCTAAATATACTAGACATTTTAGCTCTTGTAGTCCCGATAGGACAGTATTCATGAGTCGTTGGAAAGTGGCTGGCACATTTTTCAATCCGAAGGGCATTCTATTGAACTCGTAGTGCCCCGTGGGTGTTGAAAAAGCTGTTTTACCTTTATCTTTTCTGCCATTTTTATTTGAGCCGCAAGGTCCAGTGTAGAAAAATATTTTGCGTTTCCTAGTTGATTTAGGATGTCACTAATATTAGGTAGTGGAAAGGAGTCCCCAATAGTTCACACAAAAAATGAAATTCTTAAAGGAATGCAAATATGGCTTAATCCAAGTATAATTTAAACTTAGAATAGCGCAAAGAATAAATAATGTCCGATGAAGAATTAATTATTCTTAAAACACAAGTAAAAGATATTCTCACTTGAAAACAAACTGTATTTAAATGAAAGTATAAAGTTGCATTTGCCCAACACAAAATATGCTTTTATCAGCATTATTTATTCTTAAATGACGTTTTTTGTCAACTGAATCCCAGAAAAAAATTTTCGATTCAAATACGTTACTTTCTTCAAATAAAAGGTATGTTTTACTAAATGAATTTAATTCATTATAATGCTTAACTCTAATCTATATTTCTAATAATAATGTCCCACATTTCGTTATTATATAAATTTGAATGCTAATACCTGTAAATCTTCCTTTTATATCAACATTTTTTGTAATTTGTAGATATAAAAATTTGTGCATCTGTAATAAAATAGATAAAGATAGTTAACACAGATACATAAAACTGAGCTTACATTCACAGATTATAAAATATGTTAATGTATAAAAAAGGAAAGCTTATGAATGTGAGTATTAAGAACTGTGATAGAACATGAGATATTGTTATTATTAACTATTTATATCAAAACGAAGTTTCAAAATGAAGTAGAATGGAAATACATATAGAAATTTGTATATTTAAATTTATATATTTATTTTAAAAAAATTGTTCTATATATAAAATGATGATATTCGCGTAAGGAAAAATTATTCGTCGATGGAAATAGAAGCCGTCAAAGTAACGTCGATTTGTCATCATTTGGACGACGAATCATTTATTTTATGAGTTCTTTACATTCGCCTAAATTAAATATAATTTATTTGGTTGTAGCTTTTAGTATTAATACAAACATTACATATTCTACTTATTTTTAACATTTTCTTACACCTATATTTTGAACAAGAAATTCAAGCAATTTTCATTATTTTGCGCATTAAAACCTTACAACTTATGCCGGAAAGTTACATAGGAACACCCGTTTGGACCTGTTCGAATATGAGTTGGTGAATGACTCTGAAGTGTCTTCTGCTGTATAAAAATCCACTTTTTTGTAGGAACAACTTCATATGCTTGATACAAAGAAGAGAACGATAAAGTCTCAAAACCTTTCAAAATAAAAGAAACAGTCCTAGTATCAATTTT